CCCCCCCCCCCCCCCCAAAAAAAAAAAAAAAAAATAAACAAAAACATTTAATTTAAACAATTTGAAAAATTAAAGAACACCTTTATTAAAAAAAATTAAACGAAACAAAATACAAATGTGAAAATCTGACAAACAAATATAGAAATGAAAGATTACAGTTTTTGGTCTCTGACAACAAAACGTTTAAATTTAACAACACAACAATATATTTTAAATGATGCCAATTTACACCAGTGATGAGAATTAAAAAAACAAACAAAAAACTAACAAAGAAATTAAGAAGAAATTGATTTGACAAAAGAAAAACAAAATGTTAAAAGTGGAACAAAAAACAAGAAATTAAAAATTAGATTAAAAAAACTAGCAAAAAACTAAAATGACACAAGAAACATAAATAATTAAAGATTAAACAAAATATTTTAAAAAACAGAAAATGAACACACATCAAAAATAAATATGAAACAAAGGACTATTAAATAATTCAAGAAAAACATTTAGGATTAAATTAAAGAAACTTAACACAGAAATACACAAACAAAACCAAGTCAAACAAGAATCCCACAAGAAATTTGATAAAATAAATAGAAAATAAACCCAGCATAAGAAAATGACACAATAAACCTAACAAAGAATCAAAGATTAAACAAAATAAAACCAAATAAATAAAGAAAAAATACTAAATAAACCTACAAATGTTCCGAAACAAAACATTTAAATCTGCACCAAAATAAATCTTCTCTTCAGTTTCCTCTCCATATGATGAAATAAAAATATAAAGATTAAAATTCTGTCCTCCGTCTGTCCTCTGCAGCAGCAGCAGGACGTTTCTGTCCCTGTTCAGGCTGCAGAGACCCGCAGGCGTCGTCTCAAACCTCTGGAGTCTGACTCTAATAGACCGCTGCCGCCATGTCTCACATCAGTGAACAGGAGCAGCTGGATGTTAATACAGACTGTTCAGTGGGACAAACTGAACACGTCAGCACCTCAACATGAGTTATTACACGCCACGTTTAAAGGAACAAACCACAGTTTTTAATAATTATGCTGATTATTGTTCGGTTCATCTCTCAGCCGACACTTTTTATTAACTGTTCGTTTGAATCTTTAATCAAACAACCTAAAAAACATTTAAAGACGTCATTTTAGAAAAACTCTGTTTTCTGATCATTTATAAACTCAATCAATCAATTTATCAAAAACTAATCAACAGATCATAAAGGTAACTATTGGTGCGGCGTCCCCGCTGATCGTCCTTCAGTTCTCACACTGACGTCTTTCCTTCCAGGCTGCCGTTGTTTTCATCAGTGTGAGAATCAGCCTGCAGAGAGACGATCCATCACAGTCAGCATTTGTTCCTCTGTATGTTAATTTAGTCATTTTTTAAAGTGACATTATTATTATGGTCAACATGCAGTTCAGAGCAGCAGGGGCTGCTGGGAAAAGTCTCCCTGTTGGTGCGTTCAAGGACACTCTGACATCTGAGATTTGCAAATCAAACCAGTTCCAGTTCACGTTATTTTTTTCTGTCTTTTGGAGCAAACTGTAATGACGACATCAGAGTCATTAAATCTGACACACAACAGGCCAGACTTTAGAAATTTAGACTTCTATATATATTCTTTCTACAAAAATAAAATGGCCGACACGTTTGTGCAAAGTGATTCACAATGACAACAATCAACCTGCAGAGAAACAAGAAAACATGTCTTTAAAAACAGAAAGAGAGCAGCGTTCTCACTGTTTAGTTTATTTAAAACATTTAGTTTTTAAACATGTTATCTGTGAAACACATGAGACTCTAGCTACTGTCACATTAATCAAAAACATTTACATATCACTTCACATCATTTATCGTCTTACAGAAAAATCTCACCAGTTTGAAACACTAAAAAGAACATTTAAAGTAAGGGAACTCTTTTATTAGTTGTTTGTAAAATTTAATTATGTTTTCTACTGTTGGTCTTTAAATGAAGTCTGCAAACACAAAATGACTTTTAACAACAAGCAGTTAAATAAGTTCTACAGTTAGAAAACATAAATGAATAAGTGATTATTCTGTATTAAATGAGAGCTGCTGCTGCTGTGGCACTTTGGTTAAATGCTAATTTAATTGATGGTTTTACAATCGTTCCTTTTGATGTATTGATTTATTAACTGATTATAGTTAAACTGTGAAAAGATCTGAGATCACTGTGACGGCACACTGCTGACTCTGACTTTAATTATTTATCTTTTAGTGTGTTTGTATGTGATTGATTATATATGTGATTTAATATATGATTATATATATGATTTCCATTTCTGTGTGAAAAGGCCAAACAATGAATGAATGGTTTATTTTTGTGTCTGGACGTTTCAGCACCGCTGACCCTTTATGGGATTATTCAGACACAAAACAAAATAATTAACAAATATAAAGTTAACAATTCACCACAAAACACTGGCAGAACAGAATAAATACCAAATACAAAAGGAAGAGTTTTTGTGCTCTAACGCTGAACACATTGACCTCTTCAGGCCTTTATCCTCGGCCTGTTCTTGTTCCCATGTTGTCAAATACTGTCGCTTTGTCAGAGATTTCAGACATTGAAACAAAAAGGCACCTTTCACTGCGGCATGATAAGCCGCCAGTAATGACGTAATCAAAGGAGCAGAAACTGTATTTTGAAAAGACACAATGCACGTAACAAATTGACGCCATAACTGACCCTAACCCTAACTCTGCAGGAGGATACCTGGCGCATCACACGTAGACATGAACAGCACTGACAACGCATTGATATGTGACGAGTTGGGATGAGAACGTGTTGAAATCCTGCAGATGAAACAATCTGTTCAAACCAAAGCAGTGTCTGACCAGCGTACACTCCTCCATTAGTAATCTGTGCACAGTAAAGCTGCAGTAACTCCTGGTTTGGCGAACACGATGACCTCATCGCTCCGTGGGAAACAGTCGTCTTCACTGAGTTCTTATTTGTTATGAGTTCCTGTATGAACACAGCAACATGAGCTAATGACTGTTGATGGTTGCAGTGACGCTCACACCGACTTTAAGCTGGTATTTTCCCACGGGGCGGCTGGCTGGTGGAACTGGGAGAAACTGTGTGTATTGTTCCCAGTTTGGGTGAAGCCGCTCGTGTCGGTGCAGGTCTGACGCTGATAACAGCCCCACTGGAGGATTATCATAATAACAGGCTGCTGCCGACTGACTGACTGACTGACTGACTGCTGGGTCCCATCACAGCCGAACGGGTGGGCGGGCTGCGGACGCTTATCACCATGTTGCAGTGGGCGATTCTTCACACAGTCACATGACGGGCGACACCTCGATCCACACTGCAGCTGGACAAAGAACAGCTCAGCGGGTTTTATCACCAAACTAGGACCAAAACGACGACCCGCTGGTTCATGTTGATTGTTTCAAAAGCACAAATGATCCTGTCATCTGGGCGAAGACTCTGACCAGCAGATATGATCAGTAATAATCAGCCTCCACCTTCACGCTCTATCATTTTAAGATGTAGTGCCGCATTTTCAAGTGCTCGTAAAACTCTTTCTGCACCAAAGTGAGAGCACAAAAACAAAATCCAACAATCAGAAACAATCATTTTCAGGTGAACGTCAGCTTTTGTTTGGTCGAAGGCGACAGAGAACCGTTTCTGCAGCGTTGCTCTGTCGTACCCCGCCATCAACTCATCAGATAAGAGCGCTGCTCTGCGGCTCCTTCAGCAGAGCCGTGACCTTCAGGTTAGAAACAAAAACCTGTTTCCTGAACCAGACTTCGGTCAGTTTTGTTAGTACGGAGGTTTCCTCCATTCAGAAGGAGGAAAAAAAGAGGACGCCTGGTGCATCTTTCCCAGGACGCAGAATGGGATGAAACTGTATGTACAGTTGCCAAGGAGACGGGAGGCGGAGGGGTAGTTAGAGACTGTTAACCCTCACACCCTGTTTTCATTCACACTGCTTCTGTGTGCTTCGTCCTCAGGAGACACTTGAGGAGACACTGCCAAAGACACAACACAGGTAAGACTCCAGCTTTCATACAACTTCTCTTCAAGTGTCCTCTGGGTGCAGATGTGTAAATGTTGGATAAATAACTTCAGTCTGAAGGAGCTGTTAGTTCTTCCTCTGTGGTGAATGTTTCCTGCAGAGGAAAAGCAGCTCTGGAGGGTGGGGGGGTACACCCAGGGGACGCTGCAGCTTTAAATGGACATAATTGAGTGTCAATGATCACCACATCAGCTGCAGAGTAACTAACGCAGGCAATCAGCGCGCTCACACATGCTCGCAAATCAAACAGAAAAACGCATCAGCAGCCTCAGCTGTGCGTCCGTCACACTCCCACGCTCACTTCAATTCTCATTTCTCCTCTGTTGCAGCTCGCTGGAGCTGCACTGAGGAATTATCTGCTGTCAGGACCCGTCCGGGACGCCAACAGGGAGCAGAGCTGGACGGGGGGGCCGAGCCATGCTGTCCGCTGCTATTCAGATCCTGGCGTTTGCCCTGGCGCTTCTGGGCGTCCTCGGCACCACCGTGGCCACTCTGCTACCCAACTGGAAGGTGAGCATCAACGTGTGGTCCAGCATCATGACCCCCATCTCACAGATGCAGGGGCTGTGGATGGATTGCGTCTGGTACAGCTCCGGCGTCTTCAGCTGCACCATGAAGAACTCAGTGCTGTCGCTGCCGGCGTATCTGCAGACCACGCGGGCCGCCATGGTTCTGTCCTGCCTCGTGGCATTGTTTGGACTCTGCCTCGCCTCCCTGGGGCTTAAATGTACCCGCTGGGGAGGCAGCCACCGAGCGAAGGGGCACACGGCCATCGCTGCAGGCGGCTGCTTCATCCTGGCCAGCTTCCTCGTCCTGGTCCCTGCGTCCTGGTTTACCAATGAAGTCATCACCGCCTTTCTGACCACGGATCTGCCGGACAGCAGTAAATATCAGCCTGGAGGAGCTCTGTGCGTGACGTTTCTCTCCGCCGGCTTCCTCCTGGCTGGAGGGGTCATCTTTTGTTTGTCATGTCCTGGAAAAAGAACAAGACGACCAGACTATGTTTCCTCCTCTGACCCTGACAGACTTGTGCTGTACGGAGATGGGCAGCGGAGGCGGGAGCTGCAGACTGAACGTGTGCAGCCGAAAACAAGACAAAACAAGAAGGTTCAGCTGCAGATGGACGAAGTGAAGCAGCAGAAACCTCCTCAGGACAAACCCGAACAAGATCAGCAGCAGAGAGTCTTCTCGTCTCCCTCCAAACTCCCTCCAAAAGACATCAAGGACAGCTACAGCCTCCAGGAGTACGTTTAATCCTCCCAGCTGAGCGCTGAAATGTGGAGTTTTCAGCTGAGGCTCTCTGGCTCATAGTCAGGGGGAGGTGTGCTGGGGGAGGTGTGTTTGAGGGGGAATAATTACCAAATGTTGAAGACGACAGATTGTGGATTCAGCCAAATGTTTCAGAAACGAGACGAGAAGCAGAGAACAGGAGCTCAGAGATAAAAAGAGGAGCTTAAAAAACTGCACAGGAACCAAACACTGTAAATCCTTTACAAACTGCCGCAGCGTTCCCAAACCAAAGGTCTGAGAAAAAAAACAAGAGCTGGATCTGCTGATCATTTAAAAAAATCTGAGCTCTGCCTGAAATCAAAAAGCCATCAGTTTGCAGCTGTAGACGCTGTCTGCCTTCTCACACAGGGCCGGACCAAAGCTCTCTGAGGGTGGGAGCTGGATTTAAACCCACAAACCAAATATATACAAAACATGGTAAAATTTAAACAATATCTATATTGTAGAGATTTATTTTAAGAAAAATAAAAAGTACACAAACGGAGGATATATTGTGACTTTAAGACACACTTTATGATTTTTTTATAGCACTTTAGAAACTTAGAAATTCAAATATTATTCATATTAACTGGTGCCATTAACTATTGGTATTAATTCCATTTACTGAAGCAGGTTGATAAACAGTCAGAGTTGGAGCTCGTTGCACCAGACGGGGGTGTTGTAAAGGAGGGGGTCACTGATTACCCAGGGCCCCAGTGGGTGGGGGGGGGCCTCAGAAAGCCCAGAATTAAAAGCTTGGTTTTATTTGAAACGTTTGATTTCTAAGTCATTACTGTCATAACTACATTAAATTGGCTGAATGAAAAGATCTTAAGTGCATCGTGTAAGTGTATCGAAGGCAACGGGACTTACTTGCATTTCTTGAAGACATTTCACCTCTCATCCAAGAAGGTTCTTCACTTCTGAACTGTTGTTGTCCCGCCACGTTTCCCCCTGATGCTGCCGGGCGTCAGTTTTTGATGACTTCAGAGTGAGACCAGGTTGCATCAGCGCATATTAGAGCTACGTTACGTCAACAGCTACAGAAAATAAAGCCGCCTAAACGTTAAAGGGTTTTAATAATTCGACAACTGTTCCAGGCCTGGAGAACAAGATTGTGGAATTCCATGACTTTTCCAGGTTTTCCAGGACTGTGGGAGCCCTGCATAAAACAAAAGTACACATCTTCTTGAACAGTTATTATGCTGCGCACTCAACCTGTTCTCATCCCAGGTCATTAAATACCAACCGTCACACCCCTCAGAGTCTCATGGTGACGCACAGACCAGACAGCTAACACAGGGTTAATGTTGTGGTCACAGTTTGGTTTAAGCAACTTAGAAAAAAGATCATGTTTTGAGTTAAAGTAAGCACGTTTGTTACATAACGTAACATTATGTAAATTTGTTACATCTGTCCACGATGACGACAGTATGTAAATTGCGTAACGTTGTGTTAAAACATCGATTTTTGGTTTCAAACGGGACAAAAACTGCGTTCTTCAGGTTGAAACTCCAGATTTGTTTAACCCATCGATCTCCCCTCCCCCACCCTGCACAGACTTCCTCAGTTTTTATATTAACATCAGTATGTCCTGCGACAAGTATTGCTACCGATGGTTTTACACTAGAGTTAAAACTTGGTACGTCTCATGAGGACGCTAAAGGGTGACTCGGCGTTGGTATCAGACGCTGAAGGGCGTGACAAAGCATCAATATTAGACATCCTGGGACTGAAAGCAGGCTGGGACACGATGTCAAAAATGACTAAGAAGAGAAAAAAAACAAGAGTTCATATTTAACGTGTTTGGTGCCCCCTGGTGGCCAAAGTCACTCCTGTCATGGGTCAGGGATATGTGTTAACAGTGCTATATATGAAAAAAACTATTTTTTTATGTAAATAAAGCAAATAGAAAGTACGAATAAATAAATAAATAAAACTTAACACTCAAAATGTGATAGAGCCTCTGAAATCTAAAATCAGCTGTGAACCCTTAACACTTTAAAAGTTGTTTCATTTTTCAAAAGTAAAAACGGACACAAAGGAAAACACACAGAGCTCATTGTGCAGGCCTGAGGGCTGAATCCATATCTTGATAAAACTTTGATAAAAAGAGTTTCTTCCTTTTTAAAAGTGTCCTGTTGGACTTTGTTACACAATCTTAAAGTGTGTCTTAAACAGAGGAACCCACAAACTCGTCACATTTAAATTCGTTAAACTATTTCCTGTCATGTCAGCTTTGGTTCGGCTCTGAACTCTCTGCATGCTCTCAGTGCTTTACATGCTCACAGATTAAAGTTAGTAAAAGCTGCTGTTGTAGAAATAAAACCATTTTCAGAGCGCAGGTGAAGATTAAAACGAGTCCAGATCCAAAGTGTCAAAATGACAGCGTCCACTCCGTCTTTTCCCAGCGGTTCGGGGGGAGGCGAGAGGTGCAGCACAGCGTGGAGAGAGGTAATGATGCTCTTTGCTTTCCCATTATCCTCTCGCCATGGTTGGATGCACACACACACACACATATACACACCCCTCCTCCTTCAGCTGTATGAAAAGGACATCCAATCATTTCAGGATGTAACTTAAAGCCTAATGGAGACCGGACAGTCCTCAGCACTGGTGGGCGGTTCGTCCTCTAACCTGAGGTGAGCTGTCACTCAAACCTGCCGACGCTTCTTGGAAATAAAAAGGAAAGAAACCACTGAGCTGAACGCCCACACTGCCTCTCAGGAAAAGCTCCAAACCTGCAAAAAAAAGGATTCAGAAGTGAAAATAGAGTTGATTCGTCAGCGCTGCAGCGTCAGTTCACTGTCAGACCTGACGGTGATGCATTAATGTAGAAAACAGGACATTCAGGCTCAACTAGAAAACTCCAGCAGCTAGAAAACAAAAAATCAAAGCATGGCACAAAGACAAAAAAGCTTCAACAGAATAATTTCTGTGTTCTGTAACTCTGCTGCTTCTTCTGTTTTTGGACTCAAACCTCACCCCTTCATAATTTTAACAACATAATTCTTGGAAGATGAACAACTGGACAATTTCAACCATGAGCTAAAGTTTAAAATGCTTAATAAACAGAGGTCGCACCATTTTCTCAACCCAAAGCCAGAGCACCTGAATGTTTTTTTTTGTTTTTTTTTAAGATACAACAGCTTAATTTTATCAATATTTAATTTACTAATTAATCTGTGATGGTTTTTATTTTCTTTACATACATTCACATTACTTGTATTTTTCTCTCTACTTTATGTGGAGGTGGTTTCCTCTGAACTAAATTGCAAAAATAAAAAAAGATGGCTCTGAGAGGCAACATGAAAAAGCTAATTTTTTGCAGACATTGTTGACTAAAACTGAAGTTTGAGTCAAAGACAACACACACACCTCCTGCGCATTTACTGGTGCAGGGATCAAAACTCAACTTGATTCCCACACACACTTCTTCACCATACATTTAAAAAAAAGGTCGACGTTCTGGTTTCAAAGATGTTGTCTTGAAAAAGATCTTTGAGACTGGAACATCTACCTTTTTAAAATAAGTCAATACAAAGGTGAAGAAGTGCAGGAATTTCAATTTTCAATGAGAAAAACGTAAGTTTACGCTCATCTTATGATGTGTTATCTCTTACATACGTACCTTGTTATCTCCTACTCCTAGGAGACAAACTTATAGGTTGAATGAATCTGTTCTGAGAGTGAGACAGTTATGCAGAATGAAGCACCAACTGCATGATACAAAGGATATTAAATGTTCAGCCACATGTAGCATAAACAAAAAGTTTTATCTTCTCAGTTATCTACAGATCTTCAGTGTAAACACAACAGAGCTAAGTCATGAAGCTGGCAGGAATCTATTTCATATTACGCACAAGAACCGCAGATCTGCAATGTCTAGGTTCCCACACCCGCACACTCGTAGTCTATTTAGCAATGGAGGAAGCGAGCAAGAGACAGAGAGAGATTCATATTTTGTTTTTGTTTTTAACTGTTGTGTTTGCCAATATCTCCACACGTGCAGTATCCTAATCGTAATGCAGCTCAGCCCTCCTGGCAGGAGCCCCCTACAGGCTGCAGCGGAGATCGCTCCAACACAAGCGACAGTGGTGAGGGCACTGGCTTGTCTCCAAGTCCATATTTTTGTGACCCATCCACCGCCTCAACCTGCCTCCTTGAAAGACCATTCGGGACGGCTTCCATCAGTGCACTGGTCATGTGATCACAGCCTTTGAAAATACATGAGATATATAGGAATTTGGGTGCATTACTTTTCCTAAGAAAATGTACGAACATTTCATGAGAACTGTTGGCTATGCTCAGAGGCTGCGCTGAACCCACATGGACTGCCCTTTTTCTGACACCCCCAAATTCCAAAGCCCAAGTCCAAAAACTATCCACTTGGACCGAAATCCTATTTCTCAGGCAGCCTGTTATCCCACATCAAACGCACATTGCTCCGCTGTCTCAATCCTCCAAAAATAAACACTCCCAGCAGCTCCACGGCCTGCAATCATTTGGCGCTACCTTAAATCTATCTCATCGATAATACATCCTATGTAGGAGATAAACTTATTACCTACAAAAAAAAGCACCTCACCTCTGAGGGCTTCAGTAAATAAATAAGGAACAAATTTGGCTCAAAAGTTGCTCCTTACTTTTACACTGATATATGAAAAAGTGGGAATCCACATTCAGTTAAAAAACACAAAAAATCATCACGTGTTTCTTGACTGTTAATAGTGACAAATGTTTGTGTTGTTTGTTACATTTTCGCAGATTCACAGCTCCTGTAAAAAAAAGAAAAATAACTCATAAGGGCTACAAAAGGACACAACATCTTATTCAGTGTATTGATTCAGTAAAAACAAATATATGGAGTTAACTTTGGGAATGTCAGCGAGGTTTTTATTCACCAGTCAGCTAGCGAGACTACCAAATGCTAGCTAACCAGTTTTTTGTTTCTTTTCTTAGACAAAGTTAACTCCATATTTAAACATCACCACCTCACTGATAAATAATAAAAAGTAAAAGTGTTTAAAGGGGTGAGAGTCACATTTTCAGTTGCAGTGTTTGTCGTCTTGAACAAAACTCTTTAAACCAAACGTGTTTTTCTTTAACATTCATTTTAAAAAATCTGAATGTATTTGATCCAAACCAGCTGAAAAGACTCTGATTCATGTTTCAGATAAATAATGACCACTGTGTTTTTAACAGTTCAAAAATAAAACATGTCTGAACTGAAACTTTCACTGGGCTCCTGGTTTTAGTGAGTTTTAGGTGAGTGAGCAGTTTGGTGAGTCTGGGTCCACTTCCTTTTAGCTTTAATTTGTTCTCCACCAACTCTTGGGAAATATTGGCAAATCCCTCGCCAATAACTACAGACCAACATATCCATCTGAATCTCATGTCAATTTAAGTCCACACTGGTGTGTAGCCGTGCCAACACACTGGTTTGTCAGGGTTTTAATAGTGGAGAGAAAAAAAACTACGATGTCGGGCAATACTGAGAAGACGTGTCGATTCAGAACAGCCTCAATATCATCGTCTCTGTCGTCTGCTCACTACACTGTGTTTATTACTCGTCATTGGTTCTGGTGCAGCTTTATAACAGCTTGACAGTGGTGTTAGTCCTGTCTGTCAGGCCGATTACCTTATAGTCCTGTTAGTTGTT